ATTCAGTACCAGATTTTGCTACGTGGGTGTTGGTACGAAGTATTTGGAGGAGATCCGGATAACTTCCCAACTGAGCTGCATGGTAGAAACCAAGATACCCTCACCCAGCCACTGCTGGCTGAGGAGAGTTTAATGGTTCATCGGTCGCCTTCATACAGTGCCCTTGAGGAGGAATCGCGCTTAAATTCACCGCCTCAGTATCCTCACCTGTATCTTCCTGGAAAGATTATCCATGTTGTAGAAGAATCCAGCTCTAGGAGGTAGGTAGAATAATGAATAGCACTCTTTTATTTTCCTAAAATCTACTTAAAGCTGCCTCTCACTTTCAAAGTACGTGTTTCCAGCTCTGCTGCTCACCTGCATCTCCCATACTCATCTTCAGTTATTATGCATTAGCCAGCTTTTCAGTTTCTATTCTGCGCCTCCCTGCTTCTTTCTGTTTCACTTAAAGCCCTGGAAACTGTTCACACCTGCGTGCCTTACTCTGCCCCTATACTGCGTGTGCTCGAGTGATGATTTTGAACAGTAAGACTGCTCAGTTCAGCTTTGGCATGCCGCAGTTCCTACCCGAGACTGCAGATCTTGCAGACTTATGTCCTGGTATTGGTGAAGTGATAACAAAATACCTAGTTATTGAGTAGTCACGTGAATATTGGTGATGAGAAAGAGGTAAAATACTGCCCATAATCCCGGACTAGCCGGACTGGAGAGGTCCAGTTGCACCAGTAACCGGTGTGCCCATGCAGCCTCTTAGTTTCCTGTCCTTCGCTGCTTTTTTGTGGAGGCAGGAAAGTGAGACAAAGACAACAGAAAAGCTGAAACTGCTGGAAGGGTGAGGATTGTGGTTTTGTTGGGGCAGTGGTGTGTTTAGGGTGGGTTGGTTGGTTTGTGTTTCATTGATGTTGGGTTTTTTTAGACAAAACAACCCGAAACAGCCCACAGGCTAGACAGTACTTGATATCCTCCCTTGTTTCATTCTGAAACGGAAATAAGAGCATCTGTAACTTGCACAAGACCATCTTACAGAAGAAAAAAAAAAAAAAACTTTACCTTACAGAAAAGGGAAGGAAAGGGCCAGAAAAGAAATCAATTTTTTTTCCTCCTGTTCAGTAGATTAGTATTTTATTTAAGCTTCACACCTTTAATGTGTAATGATTTTAATACTGGTTTTACAACTTAGATAATTTAACACCTGTGACCTGGCAGGTTTTCGATGGCTGCTCTTCTACTTTGAGTGCTTTTCTTTTCCTTCATTTACTCCACAGCACAGCAGTTAATCATGTTTTTTTTTCTTAATTGGACTAGCACGCAAGAGCCCCCATCATGTAGCATTCTGTAAAATAAAATCCTAAATACATCGTATGTGCAGCATTAAATTTAGTGTCTAGTCTCCTACTGATACCACAGTGACTTACTCCCTAAATTTGACCTTCACCATGTGAATGTGCAGTGCTTAACCCCTCGCCCCATCTTTGCTCAGACTGTTTTCCATGTCTCAGCAGGATTATGTGATAGCTTCTGCCACGGTTAAGGCACGGTCTGATGTGGCGTAGTTCTGCCTTCAGGGACAGCCAATTCCAGCTGTTCCCTGAAGGTCAGAACAGTAGCTCTTTGGGAGCCCACCTTCCTGCTGGGAGAAGGTTCCGGTTCCTCCCGGAGCAAGGCCGAAGTCTCCAGGTTGCCTGTTCCAGCTTGGCATAGAGAGCCAGTTCTGGCAGTCTGAGCTGCTGTATTTGTGGCATGGTTTGGTTTTTTTTGTTTGGTTTTTTTTTGTTTTTTAGGTTGTGCTCTTCGGATATTAAATACACAG